AGGATGTACCCCTGTGGTACCCCCCACTGGAGCGCTGTCGATGCCGAACTAAAATCTTTGATATTGACACAGAAGGTTCTGTCAGAGAGGTAGGACCCAAACCATTTAAGGGCTGACCCTGTGATGCCCACCCACTGCTCCGGTCTAGAAATGAGGATCTTGTGGTCGATGGTGTCAAAAGCAGATGTAAGGTCCAATAGGACAAGCAGCACAGAATCACCTGCGTCTGTGGATATGAAAATGTCGTTAAAAACCTTCAGTAGAGCAGTTTCAGTGCTATGGAGAGATTTGAAGCCAGATTGGAATAACTCTAGGATTCCAGGAAACAGGAGCGGAGTAGGAGAAGGTCCTTTTGTCTAGTTCAGTCCTCACTGAGGGAACACTGCAGGTAATGATGTCCTGAGAGCGCACGCTGTAGCTGCACTCACACAGAGACATGTAGGAGGAGATGTATGAAGGCAGCAGACCAAGAAGTGATTTAAAGATGAAAAGAAGATTTAAAGAAAAATTTTAAAAACAATAATGACAACACCGTGGTCTAACGCTGAGGTGCCGGCGTTTTTTGTGTTTGGTGACCAACGACAAAACTCAGAGTGAGCTGGATGGAGCTCCACCGGAGCCTCGGGGCTCCCTCAGGCCGGGCGGGGCGTCGTCTCCTCAGGTCCGAGCTCCGCTGGTCACCATGGAGGATCATACGAGCTGCTGACTCACAGACGGCTGTTGCCTGCCTACTCCATCTCGACCCCCAGAATCTGGTTCATGAGATTTACTTCAAATCAGTTTATTTCTAAAGCTCCAAGTCACAACAGAAGTCGTCTCAGGGACTGAACAGAAACATTCATATTTAAAAAAAAAAAAAAAAAAACCCTGCAGTATGACTTTTTATAACTGTTTATTGTTGTTGCTGTTGTCCATTGTTTCATCTTTCTTTGTTAAATCAGGTCTCTCTTGTAAAAGAGTCCTCGAGGCTCAATGGGATTTACCTGGAGAAATAAAGGTTGAAGGAAAAAAATAATAAATGAACAGAAACATTAATCTATAAAATAATAAATGAACATTATTTATGTGAGGAACAGCTTTGAGTTTAACTCATCACAGAACTCTCACTCTTAATGGTGAACTAAAGTTCATTAAAAGTTCATTAGCAGGTTTTATATATATTTATATATATATAGTTTAATTTGATCATTTTAATAACCTGTATTCTTTTTAATTTACCAGAAACTTCTAAATAAATTCTCACCTGTACTGAAACCTGTTTCAAGTTCAAGTCATGATTATGAGCTAGATCCAGATTTTCCATCCACAGTGTTTGGTAAATAACAAACGTCAAGATATTTTAATAAATCTTTATTGTCAACATTTATACTGAAATGATACATGGATGGAAGGGAACAGCCTCTTTCATCGTTACTGGCACACGTCGCTCCAGAGCTGGACGTAGACTGGAGGTCTGCTGAGATGATTTTACTGGAGAATCATCTGAAACACACGCAGCATGTTTTACTAATCCGTATTTAATCAACATTTACCCGTTCATACTTTTACGCTTGGCTCTATAGCAGATTAGCATGAGCTTACATCCCTCTGATCATTTCCACCACTGTCCGGTTCTTCTGCAGGGCCTTTGGCCTCGCTGCCCGCACACTTTTCTGGGTCTCTTCTCTTTGACCTTTGACAAAGTTCAATAAAGCTACGAGATCCGACATTTTTGTTGTGTATCTTTCGTTTTTCTCTTCTTCTAATATGTTTAGTGGTAAATAGCTTAATGGAGCACCACCTCCACCAGGTGGTGAGTTGGATTCTGGACCGGGCTACAGAACCGGTCCTGAAGTGCGTATGGAAATGCAACGTGTACCGAGCTGAAGTGATCCGAGCGTCACTGTGGAAAAGAGGCTGTAGATGTCTGAAGGCTGCTCTGCAGTGATGGCCGACACTTTGTCTTTGTTTTAATCTGTTTGTTGAAGAACACAGGTGCACAGCACTCATTTACATACATAATGGTTTTACTTGCACATTTGTCTTTTTTTATATACAAGCAATACTCAGTAGCCACAATTTCTAACATATCAATCTTAGTTCTAATTTGTTGTGGTCAAACCAAAAAATAAATTTAAAATAATAAAGAGACTCTCACTCTCTCTCTCTCACACACACACATTAGGAAAAGAGATTAAAAATAAATAAATAAATAAATAGAAAGGGGGTGGGGGGGTATCCGTCAGATGGTAAGATGTTCAGTGACTTGCAATAGTTTATGAACGAACCCCATGTGTGATCACATTTTCCATAGTTGCCCTTTGTTCCATTTTTCCAATTTAAGAAATGACATATCTCAAAACCACAAAGAAATGGAAGGTGTCTTAGAAGATTTCCAGAGGAGTAGAAAACAACGCCTGGCTAAAAGTGATGTAAAGGCCAATACTTTAGCGTGCGTAGGGTCAGTTAGTACAGTAGTGACTGGAAGCCCCAAAATAGCTAAGAAAGGGTTCATACAGATTTGAATTCCAAGGGCTTTGGAAAGAATGGCTGAGTACTGGCACCAAAAGCTCTGGAGTTTTCAACACATAAAGAACATGTGACTCAGGTTACATGGACTGACATGACATCTCTCACACTGATCCACCACTTGTGAGTAAAACTCAGACGAGCCTTTGAATAGTGAACCCTACATAGCACCTTAAACTGAATAAGTTGTAACCTGGCACAGGGTGAACTGTAACAAACATTGGATACTGCTTTCTCCCACTGTGGATCTGAAATAGTTATACCCAACTCCTGTTCCCAAGCTCTCCTGATTTTAGCTCCTGAATCTATGTCCAAATCCATAAGTTGTTTGTATATTGAGGATATAATCGATTTCTTGTTGGGTTTAAGCGACCGTAGTTCCTCCCATGGCTGGATACTTGGAAGAGAAGAGTAGGAGGGGAAAAGAGCAGAAGTGCAATGCTGCTCTTGAAAATAAAGAAATAAATGATTCGCTGGGAGACTTGTTTCTGAACATAGGTCAGAAAAACTGGAGAAAGTGCCGTCCTTATATAGATCTTTAAAAGTGTTAATGCCGTGGTAAAAAAATCTTTCAAAGTCCAACAATTTTCAGTCAGGTCATCTGGACAGTTTCTTTTTTTTCTTTTCCTGAAACGTTTCACCTTCCATCCAGAAGTCTTCATCAGTCAAGGAAACACACAACACAAAACTGATTCTCTTCACTTTGGAGTAAGCTGTTTGGGAGAAGAATCAGTTTTGTGTTGTGCGTTTCCTTGACTGGTGAAGCCTTCTGGATGGAAGGTGAAACGTTTCAGGAAAAAAAACGAAAAAAAAAAAAAACTGTCCAATGACCTGACTGAAAATTGTTGGATTGTTTACCTGGATTATTGAGCATGGACTTTGTTGATCTTTACAAGTGTTAATGCTGTGGTGTTTCCACTGTACATGAGCACCATCAGTAATATCAAGAGGAAACAGATGATTCTGTATGAGAGGCATAGTTACTGATGCAGACACAAACTTAAAATAACTCCTGTACTGTGACCACATCTTAAGACTAGACTGCACTACAGGGTTTTATGTGAAACGAGAAGGTTTTAATGGAAGAGGAGAGAACAACAAAGTTACTAATGAAGAGGAGCTGCAAGACAAGCGTTCTAGTTTACACCATAACTGTTCTTGTGATTGAAGCCAGTAGGTCAGTTTGTGAATGTGAGCAGACCAATAATAAAATAAAAAATTTGACAAAGACCACCATCAAACGTTAGTCTCTGCAGCAGTGATCTCCTCACCCTGGGATGCTTCCCCTCTCACAAGAATGACATCATAGTCTGATCCAACTTTTAAAAAAAGCTTTAGGCAAAAATACAGGAATGCACTGAAACAGAAAAAGTAGTTGAGGCAAAATATTCATCTTAATAATGTTAATTCAATAAATTAGAGGCAGAGGCAAATAATTCCATCTCTGAAGATCTCATTTAATCTGAGCAATCAAAGGAGAAAAACTGGATGAATATAAGGAAGACAAAGTACGGGTCACATTAATTCTCAAATATTTAAATCCTAAGGGCCTGAGTCTAAAGGGAATATCAGACTTTAAGTTTTCAACCTCCGTGGTGGAGGAGTTTGAGTGTCCCAATGATCCTAGGAGCTATGCTGTCAGGGGCTTCTTGCTCCTAGTAGGGTCACCCAAGGCAGACAGGTCCTAGGGGAGGGACCAGAAAACGTGCAGCCCAAAGACCCCTTATGATGAGTATAATCTATGGAAACAATGTTCCCTCGCCCGGAAGTGGGTCACCGGGACCCCACTCTGGTGCCGGGCCTGGAGGTGGGGCACGCTGGTGAGTGCCTGGTGGCCGGGCTAGCCGGGCAGGGCACAGTCTGAAGAGGCGACGTGGGTCCCCCTTCCCATGGGCTCACCACCTGTGGGAGGGGCCAAACGGGTTGGGTGCAATGTGGGATGGGTGGTGGCCGAGGGCAGGGACCCTGGTGGTCTGATCCTCAGCTACAGAAGCTGGCTATTGGGACGTGGAATGTCACCTCTCTGGTGGGGAAGGAGCCTGAGCTGGTGTGTGAGGTTGAGAGATTCCGGCTAGAAATAGTCGGACTCTCCTCAACGCATGGCTCTGGTTCTGGAACCAGTTTCCTTGAGAGGTGTAGGACATTCTTCCTCTCTGGAGTTGCCCCTGGTGAGAGGCGCTGAGCAGGAGTGGGCATACTTGTTGACCCCCGATCTTGGTGCCTGTACGTTGGGGTTCACCCTGGTGAACGAGAAGGTAGCCTTCCTCCACCTACGTGTGGGGGGACGGGTTCTGACTGTTGTTTGTGCTTATGCGCCAAACAGCAGCTCAGATTACCCACCCTTTTTGGAGTCCTTGGAGGGGGTACTAGACAGTGCACCTCCTGGGAACTCCCTTGTTCTACTGGGGGACTTCAACGCCATGTGGGCAATGACAGTGAGACCTGGAGGGGTGTGGTTGGGAGGAATGGCCTCTCTGATCTGAACCCGAGTGGTGTTCTGTTGTTGGACTTCTGTGCACGTCATGGATTGTCCATAACACACACCATGTTCAAGCATAAGGGTGTCCATATGTGCTCTTGGCACCAGGACACTCTACGCCACAGTTTGATGATCGACTTTGTTGTCGGCTCATCTGACCTGCGGCCGTATGTCTTGGACACTTGGGTGAAGAGAGGAGCGGAACTGTCCACTGACCACTACCTGGTGGTGAATTGGCTCCGATGGTGGGGAAGGATGCCAGTCAGACCTGGCAGACCCAAACGTATTGTGACGGTCTGCTGGGAATGTTTGTCAAAGTCTCCCCTGAGACGGAGCTTTAACTCCCACCTCCGGTACTCATCCCTTTAGTTGGCAGCTCAGACACCACATACAGAACACCATGGACTTTGTGGATAAGGTGAGGGATGTCATCATGGAG